ATGCCTATAAAATTGATCAAAAAGTATATATGCTGACGTTGGCTTTGTCGCAATAATAATCTCATTCTGCTTTTCATTAAAGGAAACTAAATATAGTAAAACTCGTTTAGTGCGAACGCAGATACAGCAAATTCATGGATAAAGCAAAGTTTTTCGGAGATCCGTGCAAAATTGTTTACAATTCTTTGTAAAATTTTACGGTTATAAGGAACACTTATATAACGAATTTACAGATATAGCGAATTGATTTTGAGTTCCGTAGAGAATAAATATAATGAAATTTACATCTTTTACAAAGAATTTTCATTTATTATTTTAATATAAAATTCATTTCATAATTAGACCTTAATTATTCAAAGATGTTTTGTAATAATTGTTTTTCTAACATATTCGGTAGCAAAACTTGAAAGAAAACGTGCAAATTGCGAATTTGCTATATATGTATATACATGTAGTTATACGGATTTGTTATACGGATATGAAAAATTACGGATATAGCCAATTGAATTCACAGGTCCCCAGCACAGGCACCTGACGTTACTTATTTTTCTTTTAATAAAAAAACATACACATACCTAATAATAAACAAGGTAACCATCGAAAACCGCCATCTTGGATTCTCGAAGTAGGTCATCAATTGTATTTTCGTCTGAAACTCCGTCAAATAAATTCCCTGCAACCATATTCTTTCTGTGGGCAGTCTTTCGAGGTCTAAACTTACGGATACTGCATCCAACAAGGCGCATCACACTTGCAAATATTGAAAATCACTTGTCAAACTCGACCTACTGCTTCAACATTCCGAGAAATCGCCAAAGGGGGCCGGAAGTTTACATACGACTTGAAATTCTTAGGGAAAGAACTTTTTTGATTGGTCAATATATTTGTACGATTTATTTTTAAAAATAACCGGCGAAAGTTAGTACTTATTCCAAAACAATAATTCAGACAATAATACAACGTACTATACATGAAAGAACATTCATTTTATTTCTCTCAAAATTATTTCGATATAGCTTGATCAAAGCGATTATATTCTGTAAATGTCAAAGATCGGCCTGATCATGCTAGCTGATCAATGAACATTTTCGAGACAAATTGAGTCGGTTGTAAGTCCCTACTTACATGCACTAAATATAATTAATAACACTGTCATTATTGATGCCCTGATTGAGCGCTATCCGTGGAGAAGATTGACTTTATTTAAAGTATGTACGCACGTATGTGAAAAGGGGGGTCCACACTAAAATTATTCCAGGGAGTGTTGAGATCTGCAAATTTTATGCATTGAAAAAAGTAGTGGCATGGGGACATTTTTATTTTTTTTTTCTTGGTGACAGATTATACAAATACATGTTGTATAGGCTTATATTTTATTTCATTACATATCCTTTTATCAGTGTGATCCCTCTCCTTTTTCAATTAAGCATATGCCAGGTATATATGTATATATATAACTGGATGGTTTGCAGTCTATTGTTTTTGAAAACGATTCAATTAAGTTCTAGATGAGATGATTTGTTGTTGATTTTTTTCAAGCACCCCCCTCTTTTATTCAAATTTTTTTTTCGAACGCAACGACCTGTATAGATTGATACAGTATATTTTACTGGTATATTTATAAGAAGTCTTTTATTTTTCCCATTTTGTATTTTTTTTTTCTACAATCGAAATATTTATTCAAATTTCAAAGTAACTATAACACGTCGCTTTAGATCCACCACAAAACCGACACATACGAAATTCCCATTAGCATATTGATGTAAACTTCCGGCCCCCTTTGGCCATTTCTCGGAAAGTTGAAGCAGTAGGTCGAGTTTGACGAGGGATTTTCAATATTTGCAAGTGTGATGCGCATTTCTGGCTGCAGTGTCCGTAAGTTTAGACCTCGAAAGACTGGCCACAAAAAGAATTTGGTTGCAGGGAATTTATTTGACGGAGTTTCAGACGAAAATACAATTGATGACCTACTTCGAAAATCCAAGATGGCGGTTATCGATGGGTACCTTGTTTATTATTAGGTATGTGTATGTTTTTTTTTATTAAAAGAAAAATAAGTAACGTCAGATGCCTGTGGTCCCCAGGTCTGCGCTATAAACAATTTTTACTGTAGTCTCATTCAACCAAAACTTAGCTGTCTCCGTAAATTTCGACGAGCAGAAGGTCTCGCTAGGATACACAATAGCGTAAATTAAAATTGTAACCGATCCGATAGAGGACGTTGTCTTGTTTTCATTTGATGACCTCTTTGAACACAAATGTTATATTTTTAATTCTTCTATTGGATTGTGATTTTATATAAAAGAAATCTGAACTTATATTAGAGATCGAAAAGAAGAATTTACTATAACGATCGATAAAAAATACTATGAAGGTAGGGTAACTAATTTCACTTTTGCTTTAGACAATAACTTTGGACAGGTATTTTATCTCACACTCACCCATAACCGTTGAGCTAATACCGTAAACAACTCCTTTCTGGTTGCTATTACTTGTAAATATTAAACTTTTAACTCTTTTTAAATCTATATTTATATATCATATACATGTATTTGTATCAGTTGTAGAGATGTATTCTTTTCAGCGAATTTTATTAAATTGGTAAGCCTTGTTGTGGCTTTTCAAATGCTATCACAAATATTTACCAGACTCTCTGCTCGTCGAAGATGTACGGAGATAGCCGAGTGTTTGAATAATTCATACATGTAACTCAGGCAGCTGTTCATTGAAAGAAATGTAGCAAAATTGCACGTAGTTTAAACCAATGTCATAGATTTAAAAATGTTTATTTTTCAACATATAATGATGAAATTATGATACGTTTTCTGTTTGAGAAGATCTGAAACCAGTGACTTCGATCGTCAGATAAAACTTTTATTAGATATAATTATGTATAAATAACATAAACATAATATACCTTGTAGAACTGCATGTTATCACACCGAGATAAGGAGTAGTAGAATAGTTTGTCTTCTTTACGTACTGGCGCCCACCTTCACACCCATTCCAGATATCGTCATACTCAAAGCTATACTGCAACAAACAGTGGCTTGATTCTAAGCATTCTATTGCAAGATGTAGAGAAAGTTATGCATCATACTTGAACATATTAAGGTTTTACAACTGTTGATGATATTGAAGACAATCAATTGTCTTAGTTTTACTAAAATGTAAAAACTCAGTTTTCTAATGTAAAAGAAACTCTCTTCATAAAACTCCATTTAAATTGCAGTGAATCTAAGTTATTACACATTTAAAGCAATGCAATCGTGACAAAATTCTGTAATAATTGTTTTTCAGGTACTTTATGGGGGTCATGTTTTATCTGAAACTATAATTTGCCTTACTTCTTAATATTAGATATAAAATATAAAGTACTAAGGTATAAGATGTATTTTTAAACATTATTTCTTGAAATAAACATCAAGTTCATTAACCTTAAGCCTCGAATATTTTTAGGTTAATATGAGTTTGAGTGTATAACAAACCTTGAACTTGACGTTTGGCAAGATCTTTGACCATGGAAGTGATATTTTTTAAGTCTTCCCTCATTTTCAGTGTGGTTTTGTTGTAGTTGACTATCATTCGTTGTGTTTCAGATCGTATTCTTTCACTCTTATTGTGCATGACACCCAGTCTACCTTGAATCTTTCCAAGCTCAGATACTAAATCCCTCACTGTCTTTTCTGTAATTCAAAGAAACTGAAGTACAGAAAGTTTTTCTAGTATATTATCTTAACAAATTGAGAAAGTATTCTGTAATTATCAATGAAATATATGGAGATAACGAACAGTATTCGAGCTCAAACTTCCATGAAACAATACAAAACAGTATAAAATCTATTTTTACTGAACAAGTTAAATATAGGACTGTTTGGTAAGCCAAAAGTCCACAAAGCTCAAGTAAAGCATACTGCTACATGCCATCATAGATAGCAAGTAACTTTCTAAACGTCTGAATGAGATAAAAAAGAAAATGACAACTATCAGTTTGTTGATTGATTGATTGATTAATTATATATTGTTCAACGTCCCTCTCGAGAATTTTTTCACGCATATGGAGACATCACCGTATGCCGGTGAAGGGCTTCAAATTTTGACCTTTACTCGGCACTCAGGGTCATTGAGCAATAAGGGATCCTTATCGTGCCAACGATAAACTATGCAGTTTCAGTTTTTCAGAAATTCACAGGGCCAAATAAGGCAAAAGTGAACCTTGTTCTTTACACTTAGCTTTAAATCTGCATCTCAACTTGTATGCCGTTAAGAATCATATACTAAGCAATAAATATGAGAAGGAATTTCACGTATTGCCATTATCTACCCTTAAAAACAATAGATTTCTGCTTTGGATTCCTAAAGTTAAATTTAATATCTTACAAATATTATCATTATGATCAAAAGAAATAAAAAAAAAAATTGGATGACCTACAGTCCAAGCATTCACAATTTAGATCACGAAGTAGTGAAAAGGACAATTTCGTAATTAATTATGCCACAGATTGTTTGGAACAACAGGAACGATCCTGAGCAAGTGCTTGTTCCTTATGGTCAAGATTTTGTGAACGACCTTTGACTATTTTTTGGTGCTAGATCAATTATGACGTCATAATTGATTAAAGCTTAAATTTTCCCGTACTTTACAGCTATAATTGAAGTTATAGAAAATGAAGCATTTTCATGGTATTTAATTTGAAATCATGCGAAAAGTAACCTCGAAATCTATATTCAATTTGATATCATTTTGAAGTGGGGGTTTAAAGAAGAAACACTGCCGTTTTTTATGAGATTCTAGGCAATATTGATACATTTCTTTTATCTGAGAGGGAAAAAAAGTCCGAAATTTATACCTGACTTTCTTCGTCTTATTATTTAAAATTACATTTGAAAATATGTTTTTTCGTCCATTTTATAAAACAAATTATGTCCTGATATACTTAATTTTACCAAGCTATATTTGTAAAGGATCATTAAAAGAATTACAAAGAATCAAGTTTGAAAAATCTGTAGGCACATTTCATTTACTAGATCTTGACCTTATGTACATTATTGTATATAATGATTATGATATAGACAGCTGTACATACCGTGGATGCCGTACTTAGAATTGATTTCGTCAGTATAATTATGGAGAAGTCCCACAGAATTATTTACATTAAGTATGTCATTCTGTATGTTTACTATTCTTTCAGAAGTGTCATCTTGTTTAGATTCAGTGTCTTGTTCTAATTTACTAAACATCGTTTTATATTCAAGCTGTGCCTTCACTATCCTTTCAGATGTGTTATTATGGTTAAATTTCATCTTCTGTTCTATTTCACTAAGAGTCTTTTCATATTCACGCTGGTAGTTTATTATCCTTTCCGATGTGTCGTTTTGGTTAATTTTCATCTGTTTTATTTCACTCAACATTTTGTCATGCTCATGTTGCTCATTTATTATTATTTCAGATGTATCGTTTTGGTACTGTTTCATCTGTGCTATTTTATTCAACATTTTATTATCTTCATGCCAAAGGTCATCGGTACTTTTTCTTATTTCTTCTGTGTTGGTTTTCATGGCTGCCATTTCATTTTTCAAGTTTATCATGTCACCGACCAGTGAATACACTTGTTTCAGCAATGATATCCTTATCAAAGTTTCTTGGTTTATCTGGTTCTGCAGACTGTTAATGGCAATTTCATTTGTTTGGCACGAGGATTTAACACTTATGCCATCTTCTGCCCTCTTTTCTGTCAGTGGCGAGTGAGAATCTACCACGGCAAATAATACCCACAGATATGCACAATTCAAAAATATCATCGTTCAAATGCTCAAAACACCAAGGTTAGACGTTGTAAAAGTCCTTCCAAACACAACACGCAAAATGGCGTGATTGGTACAAGTTTTAGTTATTTATAATGTATAGAGTTTTAGCACTTGTTTATTAAAAAAGATAGTCTTTCAAAGCAATGAATATGCATAAACACTTTGCATCTTAAGTACTTATTTCTTATTTGGTATTGTGAAGGAAAAATAAGTAAAATACCATGCCTTCAGCTTCATACCATGCGATTGTACTGATCAATGGTGACTTTCTCTGGTATACACTGCCTTCTTGAATCAAATTTCTGATATGAATCAAACCTTTGATTTTCATGTTTAATTGTGTATCAAGTGCACTCTTGTTTATAACGTTTATGAAAATATATATAATTATTTATTATAAAAGCAACTTGAACTGTAGGTTTTTTTCTGAATCTCCCCTTAGTTTGATTTTGAAGACAATATATAGAATGACTTCTTGTGATCTAATAAATGATAATTTTCACACAACACTTGTGTTATTTTATGTTATTATGGTTGAAACGTATGAAATAGAACTTTGCCAGAACACCAATTTTACAATCATAAAATTATTACTAGACATCAATAAAACATATAACTCGACAAGCTGCAATTTACTTCTGTATCTAAAAAGAACTTTCAGAAATTTCAGTTTCGGTATTATTAGTCCAGAATATGGAACAATTACAAACTCTGCGTAATAGAACCAAAATGGCATTTGAGAAACGTTACTCTCTCTTCAGGTGAATTTTGTAAAATTTAAAGAACGTTACTTAACATTGCTGTTTACCACAAGAATTTGATAGAAGTTGTTTCAATATAAATTTCAGATCCACTAAGGAAGTGATACTTGAGAATAAGATTCTGAGATAATCTGTTACAAGTACTGCTAGCTCTGCTTTTAAGATTTGCACTTTCAGTCGACCACTTAAAATAGTGTATTATACTCAAGTAGTGGCTATTAAGGAAGCTTGAATTAAGGAAGATCGAATTTAAAAAAAAAATGATATATTAAGCGAATAACTATCATTTGACAAAGAAAAAAATTCCTACATTTTGATTCAAAAATATTTTTATTTTTTTGTATATCTTTATATGGAGATTTTCTTCTAAAGGAGACAAAAATAGTCTAAAATGGACACAGCCACCCAGCCTCCTTTATTCCTATGGCCTTCTTTTGTTTTAATAAAAGCATGCTCTACATAATAAAGGTATTTGATGTATATAAAGCAATAATATTTTTTGAACATTCAAAATAGATTTTTGTACAGCTAGTTCAAAATCTTCATTTGTTTGATGGCGATGATCTTCACCTTGTTGAACTATTTTACAATTGTTAATTAACATAATTTCAATGATCTGCAGATGTACTTCATCAGCTGTTGATTTACAAAGTCATCTGTTCAAGACTTTTTTAAAAGTAGAATACAAAACACACCTTCACCGTATCTTTGTCACTACTGTTTTAATTGGGCTTCAGTTTCTCCAGAACACATACATATAGACTGATTTAAAACAATTCTGTATGTTACGAGTTAAGTGTATTTTTATGAGTTCCTTTTTAAGGGAAACATACCACAGAACTATACGTAGCAGAAATCTGGATGTTAATATGACTGGTAAATAGACGACAGCATAATTTCAAATCTGTACATGAGTAGAGAAATTGTGTTGAAATAAAATGACAGTTCTTTTTATACATTCTCTCTCTCTCTCTCTCTCTCTCTCTCTCTCTCTCTCTCTCTCTCTCTCTCTGAGGGAGGGCATGTGTGTGTAAGTTTAGGTGTTTTGAATATATGGAAAAATTATAAACAGCTATAGTAAGCCAATCTGCGCATATTGAAAAATGCTTTAACTTGAAAAACCAGGGCATGCCAAAAAGGTATTATATTTAACATTATGTTTAATTATGTAGTTTATCATAAAATTACTTCATGCACACTTTCAAATATTCTGTCATTCTGAGTGCTGCAATGTTTTTATTCAACGTATATATGATTCATTGTACAGTATAGATATTTCAAATTTTAGTGAAGATAATAGGAAGGTACCGTAAATCTGCAAATTTTTACTGTAGATAAATTTTTAGCAAATTTGTGAGTTCATTATATTCGCAAAATATTTTTCTTAAAAATAAATCACCAATAAGAAAATGTAAACAAACCAGTGGTCATTAGCAAAATTTTGAAATGTAAGAAAATCGACGTAAAAATTTCCAGATTTACGGTATTTGTTCAAGATTGATTTTCTGGGCATTTTCAAGAAAGAATAAATATGCTATCTTTAACTTCAATTCATCATTAGACTGTCCAATATGGTCAAAACATCTATTAACTGGAATAATGATCACAAAAATATGTTTTCATATTTTGTTTTTCAACATTAATATTGACAATCCGGTATCAGAACATCCTTGGAATTATTGAAAATAGATGGATATTACGATGCATATTTTTCATTTTAAAAAGAAACCTAAGCAAACAAGACAATTTAAAGCTGATTTTAAAATTATTTTTTCATAAAAAAAAGCTATGCAAAATTTTCCTTAATTTCAACTTTGAATATAATCTTTACTTCAGAGCCAATACGCCATTTTGGTTGTCTCATCCAATAAAATGCGAAAACATTGTTAGCTGCAAAGCCTTGGAAAAAGTCCAAAAACCCGTTCAACAGAGCTAGCGCTCGCGAACATTTCTGGTGAAAGTATAAGGGATTTTAGGGAGCGTTCGCGAACATTCGCTCTGTAGAACAGGCCTCAGAAATGCATGCCGTACAATTTATCAAGGAAGAGGTGAATTTAAGTGAAATTCTGTAATAGGTGGCAGAAGATAGTTTTGGATTAAGTACCGGTCACAAAGTAGAAAAAATAGAGAAACCTACGATTTGAATATAATAGGTATTTTTATAGCTAGAATATTTTATGGGTGCATTTGGAGGGAATTGATGGCCTTGTTTATATTATTGAAATATGAAGTAACACGCAGGGAAAAACGGCTAACGAAAATCGACCAAAAAACCCCCCGAATATATTACCCTTTTTGTTTCTTTACAGAAATACATCAATTTAACGAAAAGAATGTGTTAGAATCTCATTCGATACTCTAATGTCAAAGAGCACATGTGTACACTTAATACGTCGAATAGAGATTATTCTAAATCTCAGTCAGCTGAATATTGCATTGATTTGTTTTGGAATCAAAATGTTTAATTTAAACTCTCTCTCTCTTTTTTTTTTAGATGAAGTCGGTAGATACGTTTATCTAACTTTCTATTAGATTTTGAAGTATTGGCGGTAAATATTGGCATGGTTTTAGCATTTGCAGAGAAAGCTGAGTAAATAATTTTGACCCACTTCTTCTATAGAAACCCCTTCAAGGTCATAAATAGTCAATTATGTTCATTATATGAATTAGTACATTTGAAGCAAAAAGTGGGTTATTCATGAAGAAATAATTGTGCATAACCCAAGAACACTGCTGAAAATGGTATCATGTGTCCAACAAATAGTACCCCTGAGAAATATTTACTTATAAAGGACAAAGAATATATTTGAATTAGGGATGTGAAATCTTTTGGAATGAATTGTAAATATAGGACAGAATAAATTGCATTTCTTTTTATTGTTTATTTAAGGACTATATTTTGAATATGCAACTAGTGGAGCGATGCTTAACCTCACTTAGAGTTCATATAGGCCTATACATTAATAAATCATCGGGCATTAAGCGAGATATATCTACGGAGCATAAACTCCTTATATCTACACATCAAAACAATGCAATTTTTTGATATATATCCATGTTGGCATCACATTCGCCTTTGACGGATCTGAAATCCGAGGCGAACTCAATAACTGTTGTGTGTTCAAACGAATCAGTTCGGGACGACATACACCATTTAAAGCAGCAACTGAGTCAGGAAACTTTAATACGACTGTCCCTCGTCCATCAGATGTCTGCGTTTGTCAATGAATTTTTAACAGTGAGAAAAGATATGACCAGTGTTCGGGTGAAGATGGAAGAAGTTGAAAAGAGTAACGCTGATATTCAGCTTGAAAATCAAAAAAATGCGCATGGAATTGGACAGATATGTTAAAATGAACAATACTGACCGTGAAACATCACAAGAAAACACACAGCTTCATGAAAACCTCCGCTCAGCCGTAGAAGAAATCTTGATTCGTAACTATACAACTGCTGAATTCACGACCGAGGAATTTGCAAAGGGTTTGTTAGTTTTTACACTCTCAATTTAATGCATGTAAAGATTAAGGATAAATAACACAAACAAACTTTTTTCAGAAATCGGCATTATTTCTCATAGATTTACATTTAAATTGAAAACCTGAATAATGCTAACCAAGTAGAGTTGGAGAATTTTATAAGATTTTGTCATAAAGTTAAAAAATTGTGCAAAATTTTGTATGGAATTATATAGAAGGCAAAATAAAATCTCAAATATAAGCACCAAGGAAAACCTACGATTTCTTTATATTTCAGGGATTTATTATTTATGTCAATATAAATCAAAATCAGTCAAAAAATATATATCAACCCGCGCATCCATTTTTTGTTTGTGGTAATTACCCTTATTCACGGTTATAAAGTCCATTTTTGTAAATGTTACAAAATTCTGCGGGATTTAACTCTATACGTACATGTAATTCATTTTAGTCACTTGAAAATGTGACAATTGAAAATCGGGAATAATAATTTTCAGTCTGTCTCTATGAAACACTTTTGTTTCCGCTCGATATCGCGAGAAGCATTCGATATTTGCAATGAAATTTCAGCTACATGTAGTATTAATTGTAACAGGGACCTTAAAGATGTTCCCCAAATGCTCACCATCTCCTGTTTTTGTGCCTTACTCCTGTATGACTTTTTATAAGCTCAGTATCGAAAGACTTCAAAAAGGAAATAGAAAAATTATATACGAGGGCTGTTCAATAAATAATGTCCTCGGTGCTCGGAAAGAAGCAAAAGACGCTTTTCAATGATTTAGTCTTAATGATTTAACTTCATATTCTCTTTTGATTAAAACACACATCCGTAACATT